GATCATTTTAATTTTAATTTTAATGGTCCCGCTTCCTACCGAGGTGTGGAGCCCTGTTTGGGCTAAGTAGTAGGCCCAAGATTAATACAGGGTGGGGGCCCGTGAGTATGACAACTGCGGTGTAGGATAGTTTTATAACTGAGGATCCTTAAGGATCGAGTGACTTGGTATGGTGTCTCAAGCTTTTTAGTGAGGCAGCTCCGCCAACTGTTTGTGTGGGTCAAGAAGATTGGAGCTGGGGGGGGAGGGTAGGATGGACGTAATTAGGGGAGATAGTTGGGTCTCATTTCGCCCAGTGTCGACCAGTACGGTCGTTCAGCCATATGCAGTATGGGGAGGGGAGTGATTCCTAAGTGTAGCACAACGTTTTAACCAAAACTAAGACATGAAAATAAAATGCCGGTAACTTATTAGAAAAAGAGAGGGTACAAGTCCCAACACAGATGATTCCGTTTTCAGGTGGCAGGTGCGCCCTTTGTTCCTCGAGACGCAGGAGTGAACGGAACCACGGTAGCGGGGTTCCAGGTGGGGTTAGTGGGTCGAGGGTTAGGGCTCGGTTTCAGGGAGGACAGGATAGCGTCCATTTCAGATGCCTCCGTGACTCTGTGTTCCACACCATTATGTTGGAAAGTCAGCGGACGAGGTGTGCCCCATTGATACTTTATGCCTTGGGATGTAAGCGTGGATGCCAGTGGTCTCAGCGACCTCCTCCACTGCAACGTCGAGCGGGAGAGGTCAGCAAAGAACGTGAGGTCCATTTCTTCAAAGTGATATGGGGTCTTCCCTCTGGTAGCTTGTAAGATGGCTGCTTTGACTTGCCCATTTTGAAACTTAACCAGGAGGTCCCCGGTGGTTGGGGCTGTGTTGGACTGAGGCTTGGGTAGACGAAACATTCCATCCAGCTGAATGCCCTTTGCTGTTTTAGGGGGTAGTAATGCCATGAACAGCCTATGTAGGAAGTGTGGCATCTCTGCCATAGTAATGGAGTCCGATAGGCCTCTAATCTTCAGGTGTTTCCACCTCCTCTTATCTTCTAGAATTGCTAGCTGGCTGTCAAAGTTAGCCTGCGCCGTGGTGAGGTCCCTCACCTGCTTCTGCAGGTCTGCGATTTGAGGAGTGTGCTCCTCCACTGCTTGTTCCACCGTGGTTAAACGGGCTGTGAATCCCCTGACATCCTCCCATACTTGGGAGATATCTGCAGAAAGACTTTGTCGGAGGTCAGCCAAAAGTTTAGTAAGGATGGTTGTGGTTAGTGGGATTGAGCTGCTGTCCACCTCCGGAGATGGCCTGGGGGGTCCCTGGAAGCCAAGGGCTGCTGGCTTGTGCAGGGTGTACTGGCTTGTACACAGTGCGGCCTTCTAAAGAGTTCACTGATGTCAGCCATGTTCCCGGGCCGGTCCGACCTCGTTTTTTTATTCTTCCGCCCCATCTGCTTACTGACACAGTCAGCTATGTCCAGGGCAAATTGGGCTCCAGAAAGGTACCTTTTTCAGGTTTTGATAAGCTTTTCCGACGGAGCTCCGCGGACATGTGACCGCTCCGATCGTGAGTTAGCTCCGCCCCCCAAGAGGTAAATCTTGGCAATGATATAAAACTAAAAACAAAAACAAAAAACAGAGATATTTGTTTTGTCAGTTACATCCATATGAGCTATTTTGGCCTTAATATATCAAGTGCATTGTCTATCACTACCACAACCACAATAGAACAATAAAATAAAGTATTCAAAGGAATACTTCAAGCACCATAAACACTACAGCCCACTGTGATTACAGTGTCAAAAGTGGCACCCCAGAATAATTAGTAAAAATATTTTTGAATGTTCTTTGGCAATTAATGTGGTTTCTGGTGAAGCTGACCAATTAGCTGAGTCAGCGAAACACTTGCAGCCAATAAGGATGGCCCTGCACAGCCAGGCTTAGCTCAGTGACACAACTTATTGGGAAGAAGGAAGGGGAAGCTGTCAAAACAGTCTTAAAAACTTTGACTACTTACTCCGAAAGGGCTCCAAGGCACTCTTAGTACTATAACCACTAAAGTTGGTAGCAGTGATAATGGTGCTTAGAAGGTTTCTTTAAGGAACATGTACTTTTATATATGTGTATTTGCCATGATATAAAGACATCTAATAAATAGATAAAACAAATATCAGAAATAAGGTGTAATTGAGCTATCTAGAAAACAAACAATATTGCACAGTTGTTTGTCAGGGATTTGCTATAGAATATATCATTCTCAGTTCACAAATATATAAGCAGATTTTTTTCAAGTAATGGAAGATGACAATTAATACGTGTTAAGTTTGTTATAGAACACTTGTATTCTGAAAGCTTTCAGCATTATATAGCATTATCCTCATTGTACATATTGAGGGCTTCTGCAAAGACAGTGATCCTTAAGAGCCTGATTAAAGGACACTTTAACTTATTCACCCCAATTAAAATAGTGATACACATAACACACCATAAACATTTTATCTCAAATGCATATAAATATAGCAGAAACAGCAAGGATACAGACTATATTTGTTTCAATCTTTCCAAATGGTTTTTACAAACATTGTGGGGTTCTGAAAATACGTCTATGTACTATAAAAATTCCATATCACGTTTTCTTGACATTTAATTAGGGGTAAAGGAAAATACGCAGGGCTAGAATTTTAACTGTCAATTAAATAACCTTTGTCCAGCTCATTTCAGAATGATTTTCTTCCTCTCAAGAGAGACTTCTAATGTCAAATGGTGATATTAAGGTGATTCTTTAGTAGCTGAAGAGGGAACATGACAAAACTATCAATTTCTGTTAAAACAGAAATTGAAATAATACAATTGCTGAATAATCTGAATAATTATCATGCCCAAAGGTAAGCTTTTTACATTATTTTTAATCGCAACTGTTCTTTCAAAGCTACATTGCAACCATGTAATGTCAAGAAGTAACTTAAGGTTTATGGAGTTGGGCAGGGTGGGAAACAGTGAGTGGTGTCCATGCGGTATAATTCAAAGGTCAAATAAACAACACAATACAACTAAATTTAAAAATAATGTGACAAGCTTAACCTCTTAAGGATGGAGTTAATTGTACACGTTCTGATCAAAACAAAACCTGCAAGTTGGGCTATATGTCGGTTCAACCGTAATTCACATCTTTGATATTAAGTGCACTCACACTTATTATATATCATTTTATTCATGAGAAACAGGGCTTTCATTTCACATCAACTATTCATATATATAACAATTTCTCACCTTTTTTTAGATTTTATTCATAATAAATTAAGATTTTTTTTTGTAATTTTTTTAAGTTTTGCGTGGCATTTTAATTGTGAATGTCATAATACTGTTAGCTTCTACTGCAATAAAATACACATATTTGTATTCAGCAATGTCTCATGAGTACTACAATAACACCCCATGAACAGGTTTTATGGTGTTTTGGAAATTTACAGGGTCAAATATAGCACGTTCCATTTTTAAGTTTAAAATTTGCCAGATTAGTAATGTTGCCTGGGAGTCCGTATTTTAGGAATGAGAATTACCCCCATGATGGCATACCATTTGCAATAGCAGAGAACCCAGGGTATTCAATATGGGGTATGCCCAGTCTTTTCTAGTAGCCACTTGAAAACTACAAAAAACAAATATGAATGCGAACATTGGCCACAGCGATAAGGAAGAACCAATAGTCAAGGATACGAGAAGTCAGAGAAGTCAAAACGAAGCCAAAGTCAACAACCAGAAACACAGGATCAGGAACACACTCTCGGATAACCATCTAAGGGAAACCACGACAGGGCAATGAGAAAAAGTAAAAAGTGAGTTTAAATAAGCCTCTGACAGATCCGATTGGACGTAACCGGCCTTTGACCCCAACACATGCGTGCGCGTCTTTTGGGTGACGTCACACGCACGTTGACATCATCATTACCGTGGGCGGACATAAGGCTTTAATATGGTGTGGATCCGCAGTGGCCGGCGTCCACCAAAATGTTGCAGGGATCAGGTATACTGGTGGAAGGCTGCTGAGTGGCACTTCCGTTTTTGCCAGGAAGGCAATTACTACCGCAGTTACCATAAGATGAGGATGAATATGTGACAATATGTATTTAACTTCATTCTAAGTTTATTTTAATACAAATATATTTAAGATAAAAATAATCACTTACCCCAAAGTGTAATTGGACCATGTCTGTGTAGTTGGTCCAGATGTGGTCCAGCTACACTTTGGGGTAAGTGATTATTATGATGGCGTTGGGTACATATTGTGATGTTTGTACTGTAACAGCTCATCCTGTTGAAAGTTTGGATTACAAACTGAAATGTAGTTTTCTTATTCTTGAGCTAATAAAAGCTAAGTTTTACGGATTACTTCTAAGTCCTTGGAGTGCTATCTTTTTGCAATCTTTTCTATCTTATGCTGACGAGCACCGGGCAAGTACACCTGTTAATTGGAGTTCAAGATTGTTTTTTGTTTTATATATATATATATATATATATATATATATATATATATATATATATATATACACATACTAGGAAAATCCTTGCACTCAGGCTCCAATAAAGTATACTTTACAGGTGCTAAGCCTTGGACTTTAGTATCCAGATTGTAGAAGAAACGGCAGCACTCACGGTCTTCACTAACAGTCTTCTTTTATTTGCAAGGTTAAAATATGGATCAACGTTTCAATCCCTAGATGGGACTTTCTTCAGGATCAATATATTTTTTCTTAGTATGCTTCAGTTCACATACCCCTCCCTCCTTTTGTTCTTTGTCCCCCATATGCTATAAATGCATATCTTCACATGAACTGAAGCATACTAAGAAAAAAAGGTCGGACAAAGCAATCAGCCGCTGTCACTTCCGGGTTTCGGCAGTGGAATGCACACTGGAACGCACACATCGTCGGACGGCGTGTGTGATGACGTCATGTCGCTCGGACGAAAATAGAACACCTGAGAAAGATTATTGAACTTTGTGGACATTAGTGGAGGTATAAAGGACTGGGGAAGGAAAGGGGGTTTTATTATTCATTTGAATCCTGTTACTGGACACTACCAAAGTCCCTGAGGAAGTCCTATACACGAACGAAATGAGTAGGACCCCTGGTGGTGACTCAGAGATACTACACCTATTGTTTTTAACCTTGATGTAATTGATAAAATTGAATAAAATACTCCAGCCAGAGTTGAATTGAATCCTAGGAAGAAATTTATACTTAAGGCTCTTTAACTTCAGTGAATGTGTGAGTAGCCATTTAATTCATATACACAGTTATACGCTATGTTTTTTCGCTATGTTTTTTTGTTTGTTATTGGTTTAGCAGATCATCCCCTATTTATTTGTGTAAACAAACACAGTTTTATTCAATCATTTGTATGCCTAGTTTATTGTAATATGAAAAGCAAACCCACCATCAATGGGTTGACCATCAATGTCACATATCATTCCAAAGAAGAAATTGGAGGAGGGTAGGACAAAGAAAAGGGGATCTGTTCCCCAAACCAGCATTAGCAATAGTTCCATGGCTTCTGAGAAATTAAGCACATCTTCCTCTACCAAGTACTGCTGTCACCTACCACTACCACAGCTGCCAGGACCACTATTAGTAATCCACTTGCATTTTCATCAGCCACCAGCATGGGTGGGGGTTAATATGTCACTCCAAAGAAGAAAAGAGTGAGTCACTTATCTTCTATTATTTTCCTAGGACAGTGTGGCCTGGTTTGTGACTGTGTAAATATTTACTAATTGAAGTTGACCTTGTAAAGTAAAGCTACTTCTCGGATTCCATGCAAATGCATTTTTGTTTGTTTTCTTCATTCAATGTTCATTCATTGTGCATTCATTTCAATGGTTACCAGGATCTGGCAAAACAAATTCCAAGCAATCCCTTATTTGGTTGTTTGTCAAAAGCTCTGCATTATTTGTTATTATGAAGTTTAGACAAGAAGGCATCTGTTCTAGATTGTGTTCTAGTTGGGAAGCAGATGCATTTAACTTTTTTTTTCCAATGTCTAAGTAAGACGTGAAGTTTATTGAAGATGCCATAAAAAAAAGAATTCTACTTGACATTACAAATGATTGGATTTAAAAGGAGATTACTACAATTAAAGGACCACTCTAGGCACCCAGACCACTTCAGCTTAATGAAGTGATCTGGGTGCCAGGTCCAGCTAGGGTTAACCCATTTTTTCATAAACATAGCAGTTTCACAGAAACTGCTATGTTTATGAATGGGTTAAGCCTTCCCACTAATCCTCTAGTGGCTGTCTCATTGACAGCCACTAGAGGCGCTTGCGTGCTTCTCACTGTGATTTTCACAGTGAGAGCACGCCAGCGTCCATAGGAAAGCATTATGAATGTTTTCCTATGTGACCGGCTGAATGCGCGCGCAGCTCTTGCCGCGCGTGCGCATTCAGCCGACGGGGAGGAGAGAAGGAGGATCGGAGGAGGAGAGCTCTCCGCCCAGCGCTGGAAAAAGGTAAGTTTTTACCCCTTTCCCCTTCCAGAGCCGGGCGGGAGGGGGTCCCTGAGGGTGGGGGCACCCTCAGGGCACTATAGTGCCAGGAAAACGAGTATGTTTTCCTGGCACTATAGTGGTCCTTTAATGTTGTAATTAACAAATGTATTGTATATTTCTTTTTTTCTATCCACAATGAATCCAGGGCCGGTGCAACTGTTAGGCAAACTAGGCATTTGCCTAGGGTGCTGGCTTGCTGGGGGTGTCCACCGGGATATTTCCTGCTGGGCTCCCCCTGTCATGGGCTGCAGTGCTGGGCGAGCGGCTCTAGAGCTCACCCCACCCACCTTAGCACAGGGCCGATCCTTCAGGTGCCTAAAAATGGGGGCACAGAGAGGATCCATGTCACAGGGGGCCCAGGAGGTGGCCATTTGGTCACTTCAGGGTGCCTCCAAAGCTGTCCTTTAGTATGTCAAAGTAGGCACCTGCTTTCCCAGATGGCAGGTGCCTGCTCTGCCAATGAATGCCGGAGGCGGATGACGGCAGTGTGGGTGGCAAGGGAGGCTCTTCTTGCAGCTCCCCACTCCTCCCTCGCGTGCCCTCTGTGATGCCGGAAGCTGCAATATGATGTAATTCCAACTCTGGCATACTAAACAGCGTGCTGGAGGAGTGAGGAGCTGCCCCACACTGGACCCCAGGGAGGTAGGAAGGCTGGATGCCTGAGTCTGTGTGTCAGTGAGTGTGTGAGTATTTGACTGTCAGTGAGTGTGTTTTTGTGTGTGTGTGTGTCTGTCAGTGAGTGTGTGAGTGTTTGTACGGTCAGTGTGTGTGTCTGTCAATGAGTGTCTGCCTGTGTGTGTGTATCTGTCAGTGAGTGAGTATGTATGTCAGTGAGTGTCTGTCTGTGTGTGTATGTATGTCAGTGAGTGTATGTGTGTGTGTGTGTGTCAGTAAAAGTGAGTATGTCTGTCAGTGTGTGTCTGTCTGTCAGTGAGTGAGTGTGTCGGTCAGTGCGTGTGTGTGTCTGTCAGTGAATGAGTGACATGAGGGGGGAGCAAAATGGATCTTTGCCTAGGGTGGCAGTAATCCTTGCACTGGCCCTGAATGAATTCATATTATTGTTAGCATTTTAAAGGGATACTGTAGGCACTGTAGCTACTTTATCTCTTGGAAATGGTGATAGTGTCTGGAGTCTTCTTTCATTATCCTTTCATTTGGCATTAAATCATTTTTTTATGCTAAACAAGAGTTTGCAGTACAATACATACGAAATAATAGGTGGAGCTGTGTAATGTCCTATATCTGTAAGACAGAATAAATGCAAATAGCGTAGAGAGTCTGCACAAATAATAATAGAAGTAGAAATAAAATCGTTGAACTCACAAGGTTGGAGTCATACCATCATATGACTCTAGCGGTATGTTCCTTTGGACACTTAAGGGGTTGTCCAGACCCTTCTATCGTTGGTTACTGGATACTCCTCTTTAGTGGTTCTTTGTGTGTCCCCCAAGGAATTCTCAGTATGTTGCTTATTCTTAAAATAGATATTTCTTTATTTCCAATATAAAATGTTAACAAAAATTAACAGTAAACAAAAATACTATACCAATAAATATTGGATATAGATAAGGTAGATTAGAGTGTCCAAAACGCGTTTCGCCTGATGTACAGGCTTCCTCAGTTGGCTCTGTGTTGTTTCCTTTCTATTAAAAGAATTCCCAGCTGATTTTGCCGCTTTTATATGGTACTTCCGGGTTTCGGCTTCTTGGAACGCAACGTGCGTTCCGGCGTCGGTATTTACTTCCGGCTTCCGGCCGCCGGAACGCAACGTGCGTTCCATAACTGTCTCTTATTACGTTGAAATGGAACGCACATGCGTTCGGATTAGTCAGCTGTTGATTTCATCTATCGGAGCTTCTCTGTCCAGCAGAGCTATAGAGCATCCTTCTTTTACACTTCATAAAAATCATATATGGGAATTATATATATAAACATAAAGAGGGTTATATATATCAAATCTTTCAGTTTTATCAAACATACCTATGTGTACCTTGTGAAGAAAAAGCATATATCATAAATAATACCACTGATATTTGTATTGATAATATTTAATGGAAAAATATTATACTTAAACTAATAGAGAATGGGCTATTAAATCCAATAAACTATAATATAAAAAATGGTAAAGGGCTAATCTCTTAGTGAAAATACCAAAGGTCTATAAGATCACAATGTGCTTCTAATAAAATAGGTAAGAAATAAAAAATATATAAAATTATTAATAATAAAAACTGTGAACAATACTAAAAAATGGTAAAAATCTAAAATTTAATGCATAAAATGGCATAGTTCGAAATCATTATTCAGTCCATATGGAATCATAGTATTAAAATTAAATATGAATTTCATTTCTTCCTTGCCTATTTTATTAACATAATCCCCACCTCTCCAGTCTTTCTTTACTGATTTCAGCGCACAAAAGAACATCCCTTCAGGGTTTTGTTGATGAACTTGTTTAAAATGGTGTGAGACACTGTGCGTTTCTACTCCATTTTTAATGTTTCGTATATGTTCTGCTATTCTTATATTTAGTTTTCGAATCGTACGCCCTACATATAGTAGATTGCATGGGCATTTTAGGATGTAGATAACTCCCTTTGAATGGCATGTTAAGTGATCTTTTATTTTAAATTTTTTATTAATAACTGGTTCTAAGTCTATAAGATGTCTTTTCTTACTTATAGTGTTTTTGCATGCTAAACATTGTCCACATCCATAAAAGCCATTGCTCATGTTGAAAAAAGAAGAAGAAGAGTGTCTTATTTTCTGTTCTTTATTACTACTTTGCACGAGAGTATTCTTTAAATTCCTTGCGCCTCTAAAAATTATTTTCGGTTTTTCTGGTAATAATGATTTTAAAATCGGGTCATCCTTCAATATGTGCCAATGTTTTGTTATGGCCTTATTGATATTCCTATTATTGCCATTGTAATTACATATGAAGGGAATATTTTGGTTCCAGTTTAGGTCTTTTTTTCTTTGTTTGTATTTTAAAAGATCTGCTCTATGGGTTTTTTGGACTTCATTTAAAGCTACTTGGAGAGATTTTTCCTCATATCCCTTTTCCAGAAATTGTGTTTTGATCCTATTTGCTTGTTCTAGAAAATCTTGTTCGTTTGTGCAATTTCTTCTTAATCGTAGGAATTGTCCCTTGGGAGCATTGGTCAACCATGGGGTATGGTGGCAGCTTTCTCTTCTGATGTAGCTATTGGCGTCTACTTCTTTAAAATGATTTTTAGTAACAATTCTATTATGTATGATAAAAATTTCTAAATCTAAAAAATTGATTTGTCGCGTACTAATCTGTGCTGTCAAAATGATGTTCCACTGATTATTGTTAAGATTACTGATAAAAGACAATAAGTCTTCATGTGACGCTGTCCAAATAAAAAATATATCATCTATGTACCGGCGATAGTTTACCAAGTTCGCACCCCCTATATGGCTCTGGTAAATAAACTGTTCTTCCCAGTACGCCATAAATAAGTTAGCGTAACTGGGGGCGAACTTGGTACCCATCGCCGTACCTCTTATTTGCAAGTAGTACACTTCATTAAACCAGAAAAAATTGTTGGTTAAAACTAATTGTATTCCTTCTA